GTGTGTGTGCATCCCTTGGAATCATAGGGAGCCGTTTGACTTTTGGTTTTACTGTAAAGCAGGCGATCCTAGGATATCAGGCATGCTTTTAGCCAGAACAATTGAGCAGCCGTTGCATCAATGTGCTTTTCGCAGTCACGCGTTGAGCGGATGTTCGATCCTTTGGACTGGATCACTCGATTTTTAGTTTTGGAACCTTTGAGATGGTTGGACCACATTGCATATTAGCCGTTTCATTCAGGCAGTTTTTTTCACTCATATAGGCTTTTGCCAGACATTGGAGCAATGGTGTTTCGTGGTGATACAGATAGATACGCCAATTTGCACTTGCTCAGTTTTCCGACTAGTGTTGAGTGTTGGAGGAAGACCTGCCTCCACTTCAAGAAAGTTATGTTATTGTTTAGCATTTGCAGTGCCACCATCATGAGCTTCCTCAAGCTTCATCGTCATTCCATTCAAAGGAGTCCAACAGCAACGCTCCTCCGGATGGCGCATGAGTCGTGACTGCACTAGTTAAATATATCTTATTAAATATATCTTATTAGGCATACTTGTTCAATTTCTTAGGAGACTACCAGTTAAGTTAGAAGTTAGCAGAGGACCCGAAGGGCAGAACCCAGCGGAAACCACAAAAAAAATCACTCAAAAGCTTCAACAAATTGCTGAACATGCATTTTGATGGCCCATTTGTTACCTCCAGCTCAGGGCCTGAGTTGGAGGGCTGCGACCCTGCCTTTGACCCTGGTGGCTTCCCTGACCGCGGTTGCCTCGTCGACATCATGCAAAGGCTTCTTGGCATCAGTTCGATATTAGAGGTCACATGGGTCCGAGACGTGTGTTGCCAGCCTTGCAGATGTACAAGAAGCTACAGCCTCTGGTTTCAGGACCTTAACATGTACCCCTCCAGCCTTCCTCAACTGTAAACCGTAAACGTCAAACGTTGTGTTGATCATTGACAAGAGGTTCTGATTACGTCAACGCAATTGCCTTTTCTTTTGTGTTTGTCTTTGGGAAGGGTCCTTTCTCAACCTGCCCAGAAGGAGTAGTCCAACTCCGGGTGTGGGAGACTGTGCCTCAAAAATGCCAAAGGATCGAGATTCGAGACTGTCCAACCTCCACAAGTAGGCCGTGACATTAGTAATCTTAAAGAGTTCACTGAGGCTAGAGAATCATGAGGCCACTATGGTCAGTAATTCCCTGGCCTGATCTTCGAAAAGGTTTGAGCCGGTTTGAGGCCACAAGCAGGCCCTTTGGGATTTGTGGGTGAGCCATCATTATCCAGGCATTTTGAGTTTTTCTGCCCGCGCAACGGATCGCTGATTGGCAATTCTATTACATAACTTCCTGTTCACGTGATGTTTGAGCCGATGCAACTGTGCACGTGAAATTCAGTGTCGAGCTTTGTTCCCTGTGCCCGTGTGGGCATCACCGCGGCCTCAACGTTAAGGTGGCCATGGTGGAACGAGTTGGCTTTTGCAGTTTGTGTGCGTGCATACTTTCAGGTTGGTGCTACCTCAGACGACGCAGCCCCTGGAGCTGTTGGCTGAAACTGCCCGGCAGGAAGTTCTGGAAGTGGTGAAACCGCAACATACCTTGGAGGCCTGGCTGGGAGAGCCGTGTTGTCGCTTTGATGCCGTTGGGTCCCTTTTTAGAAATGAACCTAGGAACCAAATGAATATAAATGTAAGCTATTCTGCGCCCGTTTGCTAGTAGCAGGGTGCCTATTAGTTTGTTTAGCCCTTACTTAATTAAGTAGGTGCCTCATGTTGCCTGCTTAATTTGTCAAGTAAGGGCGGGCAACAAAAAGAATAACAGCGTAGTTTTTGTTTTGGTGGTCGTTGTCGTCAAAAACGCACATGCTGGGGAACGGTAGTTAAATGTCAAAGCTGTTGCAAGGTCTGGTGGCTCTGTTGCAGGCGGTCATGGCCCGTTCTACTGTTTGCATGTTCTCTTCCACCAGACGCAGGCGATTCAACAGCAACTACTGGCATTTTTCCAGCGGCGACGGTCCCGTCTCACGTGCCTCGGCACTTTGTGGACCGTGCAGCGGGTGGACAAAACTGGGCAATCGCACCCGATTATATAGCCCTTCCCCTGTTCCCAGCCTGAGTTCAAACCATTGCTTTTGAGACAGCTGATGCGACCGGCGGGAGAGTATTGTGTGCATTTCTTCCGAGCATTTTTCTTTCCAGCATGCAGCTGCCAGTTTTGCCCCACAACGTCTCAGGCTGCAATGTGAGCTTATTGCTAGCCGCTTGCGCGGTGTCAGGTTGGCCACCTTTCCTTCAATCAATCTTTTTTCGTTGAGGGCAAGTCATCCAATGCCGAAAGGAATATTGAGAGAAAACCACTGAGCATGAGATGCAGGAATTGGAGTCATCTGCGACAAAGTGCGCCAGCTGTGCAAAAGCACTTGCGCACCTTATCGAGGGAGATTGAGGCGGCTGATGCCCGCATCAAGCGGTTAGGCCTGGACCGGGCTAGGAATAAGACACTTTGCTTCTCCCGTTCTTCCCATGTTTTGTGGTGGCTGTGGTGATGGATCGTGCCTAATGGCCTATGGGCCTGAAAACAATCCTGCACCTGCAATGATGGCCGCATGTTTGACAGGGGCACCCACAACAACTCGAATGAGGAAGTCTGAGCTTCAACAGCAGGCTCGGAGCGGCAGATCCCCAATGTCGGCAGCGGCTTTGGAAAAAAGACTGGCGGTTCATGCTTTGCGCAATTCCTTGTGCTTTGGGTTCAGGAGAAAGATCGGCCGATCCCCAAGTCTTGTACGAAAAAGAAGCTCTTCGACTACAATGAGGTCTACAGGCCTGAAAAGTGCTAAAACGGCACGAGACAGGCATCAACTGATCATGAACATGGTGTCATGATACGCTGCACATGCATCCGCAAGTTATACAAAAACTTGGTGAAAAGCTGCGGCGTTTCAAGACTAATCTTCCTTAAACGAGGCTTCTGACTTCTGGCCCCAAGCGCTTTGACAGCAGCTTCCCACAGCTACTTCATATTGCATCTATATAGCACACAGACATGTATAATTGTATAATATGTATATATATATACATATGCATATGATTCCTTATTTTGTTCTCCCACCAGGGAAAGTGCATCTACTCGAATCTTCCGCCACGACATCGTTGTTTGCTTGCGAGAGATGGCTCCTTGGGCTGCCATAGCATGCCATGATCATGCAGGGGCTAGTCCATGGAGAGTCCTATTTTGTTATTTCAGTAGTGCAAGAAGGGGTCGGCCAACATGAACTCCAGTTGTGACCACCTGCCTCGCATTGGCTAGGTATGGAGTGACCGCAGTACACGCATGCTACGACGGTTTC